GAGTGTATCTCGCCCCCTTCCCACTCCCCTTCCTAGCTCCCTGGTAGTGGTCCCTATTCACAAGCTCCTTGGTCACTGACTCACTCCTTTTTAAAGCCCTGGACTGCCTGATAACCCTTCCCCCTGATTAAGGCTCAACCAATGAGCAGAGGCTTCTAGATTTCAAACCCTGATTAGAAATTCACAGCTTCCGCCTGCCAGCCACAGCACTCACTCCGTGGGAGGGGGAGGCGTAAGGGAAACTACACTGCTCAACTTTTCACGCTGATAATCTATTATCATTTGCATTCTAATGCTGCTCCTTCTATCAAGTATCCTGTGAGACATTAAGAGTTTATGCACTGCATTTTCAGTCTCCCCTACTATTGGTAGTACTGCGCAAAAACATTCAATTCTATGAAAAATTCTCTCAAGTCAATAGTCCAGTTTTGCCTCTGACTTAAACCAGTGGAAAGCAGCAGTCATTCAACTGCGGTAAACAGATCCAAGTCCATATATAGATCATCTAGCTAAGAAATACCCAGTTGTTTATCACGTGCATATGTCAGCTGATTTTATACATTTGATAGTGTCATGCATTGGGATTATGAACTTATTAATTATGGAATGACAATTTTCTGTGAAGCTTGTAACATAGGTGCGTATGTGCCACAAAATAATAGGCAATGTCACACAGACCAAAATAACTCTTGCAAACAATTCTTGTTATCCAAAAACACTTTGTTTATAAACATAATTTGATGTTTACCCATCCAATCACCTTGGATTTTAAAGGGACCTATGAGAATTAGAAGCTCAAGTCTCATAGATTTCCAGTGACAACTGGGTGCCAAATTCCTTTTGGTTTGTTTGAAAATCTCAGCCATAAAGAATCAGGAATTTCTGAATGTCTTTTCATAGAAAATGCCCTGTTGGTTAATGAGTATGATTGAAAGTTTATTTGGTGTTACACTGTTACTCTCAAGTATATTAGACCTGGAGCTGTAACTGTAATTTTGACACGTGTCCACTAGGAAATGGGTTAAATTGTCATCACATTTTATGATACTTAGACTGAAGCAACAGCCCCTGGATTCACAGCAGTGAAAAGCCCAGCAGAGTGAGGACCTTTGGGTATTAATTAACAGCAACCTTCTTTGCATGTTCTGAAATATTGAAAGGAAGTTGCAGGGACTTTTTAGGTTGCTGCCCCTAAAGTGCATGCATCAGCCTATGCTGTGTGTTTCCATGACCCCAAACTCTTTAGTGGTGATTTGCAGTGGGAAGGCGTCCCAACTCGGGGTTGGGTGTAAGGCAGATCTATGCAGAACCCTTTTGAGAAGGAGCGACTGGTTCCAGTGTGGCAGCTTCATGAGTTTGTCTTCCCTTAACTGGCGCTCCATGTGCACAAAATATGCGGCCTTCAGGCCAAGAAGGCTTTGCAGGAGGCATAAGGGATCTGTCACAAAAGGCTTTCTTTCTCAACAGATCCCCCTATAGACTGCCACTTTTTGCTGAGAAAGTGCTGAGTCGGCAAACGTAGTGTCAATTTTTATGCAATTTAGGTATGGGATATTTAAATCCTTGTCTTATTTGCAATGTCAACTTGCCTAATCTGCATCCCTCTGTCAACAGAGGGATGCAGTCTAGACATACCCAAAGTGTCCTGGTACAACCCCTTTGGAATGTGCTTATTTAAAACAGAGCTTTTACCTCATTTATCTTTGTTTTAATGGGGGTTTTTTTTTGTTTGTTTTTAAATGCTTTCGCTTTTGGAAGTTTCTGTAAAAACTATAACATCTAATTAGAACACAGACAGGGAGACAGTCAAAGAGAGTGGAGTTGGTTGAAGAGAAACAGAAATGTAGTGAGACATGTGCCAAAAGAGATTTCCATAAGTTAGGAAACACATTAGTTCATCTCTGTTTTACAATATGCTAAAATGCACCTTTCACACTCTGTGCCTGTGTCTGAAATCAGACAGTTTCTGAATAGCTGTTCTCAGGGACTGATTGACCTCCTTGTTCCTCAGGCTGTAGAGGACAGGGTTGAGCAAAGGTACCAGGATTCCATACAAGACAGACAATGTTTTGTATAGGAGTGAGGGAGGGTTAAACTCTGGAACCACATATGTTATAATTATACACATGCAGGTGGAAAAGGCCTTTTGCTTCCCGATGGTGGAAGGGATTCTTAGTATGCTGGCGATGATACAAATGTAGGTTGCCAGAGTAAACAGAAAGATGCCAACGGTTATTATGATAGCCAGAATATATGTCAGCCATTGAAGCACTATCGGAAATTTTCTTTTGCTACACAACAGACCATTGGACGAAAAGTCACAAAAGAAATTGTTAAATTCTTTGGGGCCACAGTATGTTGACTGCAGAATAATTATTTGTAACATGAAGGTGTAGGAAATGCTGAATACCCAGCACCCTGCCACTATGGGGGCACACACCCTGCCGTTCATCAGAGCAGGGTAACGGAGGGGGTGGCAGATCGCTAGGTACCGGTCAATACACATGGCCGTGAGCAGCTGGCATTCTGCAGTAGAAAGGATAACATAGAAATGGAATTGCACATAGCAGTTCTGAAGAGAAATGGTTCTGTCCCCAGTTACGAGACTGGCCAACAGCCTGGGCAGGGTGGTGGAGACGTAGCAGATCTCCACAGCGGACAAGTTGGCTACAAAGTAGTACATGGGGGTGTGAAGGTTCTGATCAGCCATCACTAGCACAATAATGAGGAGATTCCCAGCCACCGCCACCAGGTAGATCACTAGGAACAGCAGGAAGAGGAGGGGCTGCAGTTCAGGGCCGTTTCCAAATCCTAAGAGGATCAGTTCTACAATGGGCGTTTGATTTCCTCCTGGATTCTCCATAATTCGTATCTAGAAACACAAAAGGATCAGATATTCTGTGAGCACATGCAGACAGCTTGTGCTGTTTGCTACCTGGTCAGAAACCTGGGATCTGTAGCCACATGCTACTGTGTCTCTTCTCTGAAAAAGTAACTTATAAATATCCAGAGGAAGACTCATTTCAGTTAGAGGCAGAGTTTCCAATAGAGGTGAGGCAAGAACATTTAATGTAAATTGTGGCACTTCCTCAGACTTGCTGAGGAACAAACCCAGACAAAGGGTGGGCTGGAGCAAGATTGCTCTGGAGTTGTTTATTGGTCCAGATTATTAAGATTCTCACACACACTCACATTCACGCTGGCAGTTTGGAGGCAGGCTGCAAGTGCGGTGCACGTTACTTTTGATTTTGCACGTGGCTGGAGTGCTGGCCAGGGGTCAGCTTCTCGGAGACTTGGTCATGATGTTACTTGGGAAATCCCCTCGGATCTGCGGGAGGCTTTACTTCCTCCAGGCTGGTCTCAGATTTCTGCTATGATGTTACATTTTGTCCAAGAGAGAGAGGGATTTTCTGACTGTTTCTCAGTTAATGTATCTGCTTGCAGGGGCTTTGTCTGCTGATTCTCAACTACCTTTTTGGTTGGGTTGGGTATTTCTCATTCACATACACACATTCCACAGGTTACACACACATGCATGAGCAATAAGGTTTTCAGGTAAAATTCAGCTTTATGGCCTTAAGTAACCAGAAACTACCATAATCTGGATTACTTGACATATTAAAGGACCTGATATGAATAAAATGGGTTAACATACCAAAGGCATGACAAACAAGTTCATAGAATCATAGAACCATAGAGCTGGAAGAGACCTCAGCTCTAGGCAGGAACAATCCCAACTAATGTAACCCTGTAACTCAGGGTGTGTCTAGACTGCAGTTTTTTTTTTAATCTTCCCTGGCATCTAGACTGCCAGCATGTTCAAAATTAAATCAAAGGAACGTGTCTGTTTTTTCCACCACCCTATATCTCATTTGACATGGAAGAATGCCTTTTCCCATTTTACAAGGAAGTGCTCTTTCAAACAAAGGCATTCTGGAATACAAAATGGGCTTTTTCGAAAGAGAGCATCCAGACTGCCTGGGTGCTCTCTTTCAAAAAAGCAGCTAACTTTTTTGAAAGAAGTGGTCACAGTCTAGACACTGTCTTTCAAAATAATCTTGTAGTGTAGATGTAGCCTAAGAGAGGTAGGGTGAAGGGAAAAAGGGAAAGGAGAGAAGTATGTCCAGTCAGCTAGACGCCAGCGCGGGGCGGTCATGTCTGACTGGTTACATACATGAGTTCACAAACAAATAAAGTCTTTTAGGTTGGGGTTCTGGCGTATCTTCATCATTGCAGTGTCATTTCAGCCAATGTCCAGGACATAACAAAAATCAATAGAACAGAAGGATATTTAAAGTTCATCCATGGGTACGTCTTCCCTGAAGCCGGGAAGTGTCATTCCCAGCTGGGGTAACATGCACGAGCTTTGATCAAATGAACAAGGTAAAATAATCAATGAGCAGCAGAGACAGTGGTTTGGGACACACACCTGTGTGCGTAGTTTGGAACTCAGATGGAATTGGGTTGGGGCAGTTTGTGCTGCCGGAGTTACACTATTTTAAACACAAGGCTCAATCAAAGGTTGTGTGTGTAGCTTTAAAGGAGCAGGGTGTTACCCTTTTCGAGGGCAGATGAGAGTTTTGCGGGGCCCAGGGCAGCACAATTTTGCGAGGCCCCCTTTGGAGAAAAAATAGGAAAAAGGTGTCAAATGCGCAAATTGCAGGCTATTTTCATATTAAATGTGAATTGGGTAAATTTGATAGAAACTTAATTTAGCTGGATAATTTCTATTTTAATTATTATGTAATTCATTCTTAAACAAAATTCTGCATTAATAATTAAAATTTGTCATTTGTATTTAAATGTATTGTACCTGTCCAGCTCTTTTGGCAGCACATTCTTCAATTATGTCATTAAAGTTCATTTCTTTACACAGTGGGTGGTGAGTGGGCGAGGGCGGCTCCGCTGGAAGTGCCTGGCAGTGCAGAGCCAACTGGCTTCTAAAGAAGAAGGGCGGGTGGTGCTGGCGGCCGGAGAAGCTGCGCCCCCTCTGTGCTGAGATGAATGCAGCTCAACCGGGCGCGGCTGCTCGGCCCTGCTGCTCCCGCAGCATCTGCAACCCCAGGCAGTCAAAAGAAAAGGAGAAAAAAGAAGCCGCCCAGAAGACAGCGGCGGCTTTCGCCCAGCTCCTCCTGTGGAGCGTGGACTTCTCCAGGAACCGCAAGGGCCTCTCCTTGGCGGCCATCGAGAAGGAGCGGGCCTGACTGGGGTCCAGAGGAACAAAAGCCGCATCAAAGCGCTCAAGGGCTCAAGGACACGTCAAAGCGAGGCCTATGAAGGGCGGGGCCCCGGGCAGCCACCCCGCTCGCCCTGCCCTATATCTGCCGCTGCTTTTCGAGATTGAACCCAAGGGTACAATGTCCGTGCCAAATGGCATAAAGAATGCGAGTGAGGCCAAACAGCAAAAATTAAGATGTTTGTACACCAATGCGAGGAGCCTAGGTAACAAAAAGGAGGAACTAGAGCTATTGGTCCAGGAAGTGAAACCAGATATTATAGGAATAACAGAAACATGGTGGAATACTAGGCATGACTGGAGTACAGGTATTGAAGGGTATGTGCTGTTTAGGAAAGACAGAAATAAAGGTAAAGGTGACGGAGTAGCATTGTATATCAATGATGAGGTAGATTGTAAAGAATTAAAAATTGAAGGAATGGAGAAGACAGAGTCTGTCTGGGCAAAAATCACATCGGGGAAAAAAACTATTAGATCCTCCCCTGGGATAGTGCTTGGGGTGTGTTATAGACCACCGGGATCTAGTCTGGATATGGATAGAGATCTATTTAATGTTTTTAAAGAAGTAAATACTAAAGGAAACTGCATAGTCATGGGAGACTTCAACTTTCCAGATATAGACTGGAGAACAAGTACTGGTAATAATAATAGGGCTCAGATTTTCCTAGATGTGATAGCTGATGAATTCCTTCATCAAGTAGTTGCTGAACCAACAAGGGGAGATGTCATTTTAGATTTGGTTTTGGTGAGTAGTGAGGACCTCATAGAAGAAATGGTTATAGGAGACAACCTTGGCTCGAGAGATCATGAGCTAATTCAGTTCATATTAAATGGAAGGATAAACAAAAATAAATCTGAGACTAGGGTTTTTTATTTCAAAAGGGCTAACTGTAATAAATTAAGGAAATTAGTTAGGGAAGTGGATTGGACTAAAGAATTTATGGATCTAAAAGTGGAGGAGGCCTGGGATTATTTTAATTTAAAGTTGCGGAAGTGATCAGAAGTCTGTATCCCAAGAAAGAGGAAAAAATGTATAGGTGGGTGTTTTAGACCAAGTTGGATGAGCAAGAATCTCAGGGAGGTGATTAAGAAAAAGCAGAAAGCATATAAGGAGTGGAAGATCGGAGGGATCAGCAAAGAAAGCTACCTTATTGAGGTTCGAGCATGTAGGAACAAAGTGAGACAGGCTAGAAGTCATATTGAATTGGACCTTACAAAAGGGAATTAAAACCAATAGTAAAGGGTTTTACAGCCATATAAATAAGAAGAAAACACAAAAAGAGGAAGTGGGATAGCTAATCACTGAGGATGGAGTGGAGGTTAAGGATAATCTAGGCATGGCCCAATATCGAAACAAATACTTTGCTTCAGTCTTTAATGAGGCTAATGAAGAGCTTAGGGATAATGGCAACATAACAACAATAAGGATATGGAGGTAGATATTACCAAATCTGATGTAGAAGCCAAACTCAAACATCAAACCGCATCTGCTCTAATGCCACTGACAGAGACCAGAAACTTCAGGATCTCCACCAAGCATTTATAAACCTCAACTACCCACCCGGAGAAATAAAAAAGCAAATTGAAAGAGCCTGACGAATACCTAGAAACCATCTACTTCAAGACAGACCCAAGAAAACCAACAATAGAACACCACTTGTCATCACCTACAACCCCCAACTTAAACCTGTCCAACACATTATCAATAAACTACAGCCTATATTGGAACAGGATACCATACTCAAAGAGGCTCTGGGAGACAGACCCATAGTCTCCTATAAACAACCACCTAATCTCAAGATGATTCTTACCAACAACCATGGGACATACATTTCACGAGGAGTAACGGTAGTTCGAACTAGGAAGCCTAGTTCGAATTACCTAGTTCGTGCCCCGTGTAGCCGCGCTGCACGGGGTTCGAACCAACGGGGTTTTAAAAATGGCGGCTCCCCGCTTATGCAAATGAAGCCCGGGAAATTCAAATCCCGGGCTTCATTTGCAAGTGCGGGATGCCTACATTACCCTGCTAGTTCGAACTAGCGGGGTAGTGTAGACATACCCCAAGTAAGTTATAAGATCAAGAACACATATTCCTGCGCATCCAGAAGTATAATTTATGCTATCATGTGCCGAAAGTGTCCGTCTGCTATGTACATTGGACAAACATCCCAGACACTTCACCAAAGGATCAATGCCCACAAAACAGATATTAGACAGGATCACAAAGAAAAAACAGTTTCTTGCCATTTCAACCAGAAAGGACATTGTCTCAACGACTTAATTACCTGCATTCTGCTTCAAAAGCCTTTTAAGACTGCACTTGAAAGGGAATCCTCTGAACTGTTATTCATGCTAAAATTCGACACTTTACGCCAGGGTCTCAACAAAGACTCTAGTTATCTTACCCATTACAAAGATAGCTTCCCCAATTATCACCTCTAATATCATTAGCTCACAGACATTTACCTCCCCCCTCCCTCTGCACATCTTAATGGCAGTAAATCAGGGGGCCCAGATAATCTTCATCCAAGAATATTAAAGGACCTGTCACATGAAATTGCAAGTCCATTAGCAAACATTTTTAATGAATCTCTAAACTCAGGGGTTGTACCATTTGACTGGAGAATTTCTAATATAGTTCCTATTTTTAAGAAAGGGAAAAATAGTGACCTGGGTAACTATAGGCCTGTTAATTTGACATCTGTAGTATGCAAGGTCTTGGAAAAAATTTTGAAGGAGAAAATAGTGAGAGATATTGAGGTTAATGGCAACTGAGACAAATTACAACATGGTTATACAAATGGTAGATCGTGCCAAACCAACCTGATCTACTTCTTTGAGAAAATAACAGATTTTTTAGATAAAAGCAATGCAAAGGATCTAATCTACCTTGATTTCAGCAAGGTATTTGATACAGTACCACATGGGGAATTAATGGTTAAACTGGAAAAGATGGGGATCAATATGAAAATTGAGAGGTAGATAAGCAACTGGTTAAAGGGGAGACTACAGCAGGTCATACTGAAAGGTAAACTGTCAGGCTGGAGAGAGATTACTAACAGAGTTCCTCAGGGATCAGTTTTGGGACCGATATTATTTAATATTTTTATTACTGACCTCGGCACTAAAAGTGGGAGTGTCCTGATAAAGTTTGCGGATGACGCAAAGTTGGGGGCTATTGCCAATTCAGAAAAGGATCGGGATATCATACAGGAAGATCTGGACGATCTTGTAAATTGGAGTGATAGCAATAGGATGAAATTGAATAGTGAGAAGTGTAAGGTTATGCATTTAGGGATTAATAAGAAGAATTTTAGTTATAAGCTGGGGACACTTCAGTTGGAAGTAACGGAGGAGGAGAAGGACCTTGGAGTCCTGGCTGATCACAGGATGACTATGATCCATCAATGTGACATGGCCGTGAAAAAGGCTAATACGGTTTTGGGATGCGTTAGGCAAGGTATTTCCAGTAGGGATAAGGAGGTGTTAGAAGGCATTGGTGAGACCCCATTTGGAATACTGTGTGCAGTTCTGGTCTCCCATGTTTAAGAAGGATGAATTCAAACTGGAACAGGTACAAAGAAGGGCCATTAGGATGATCCGAGGAATGGAAAACCTGTCTTATGAAAGGAGACTTGGGGAGCTTGGCTTGTTTACCTTGACCAGAAGAAGGCTGAGGGGGGACATGATTGCACTATTTAAATATATTAGAGGGATAAATGCCAGGGAGGAAAAGGAATTATTTAAGCTCAATACCAATGTGCACACAAGAACAAATGGATATAAGCTGGCTATTAAGAAGTTTAGACTAGAACTTAGACAAAGGTTTCTAACCATCAGAGGAGTGAAGTTCTGGAACAGTCTTCAAAGGGACACAGTGGGGTCAAAAGACCTATCTGGCTTCAAGATTAAGTTAGATGGGTTTATGAAGGGGATGGTTTGATGAAATAACATGATCTTGGCAATTATTTGACCTTTCACTATCAGTGGTAAATAGGCCAATGGTGGGATGATAGAAGTTACCATAGAGAACTTTTTTCTGGGTGTCTGGCTGGTGAGTCTTCCCCACATGCTCAGGATTCAGCTGATCACCATATTTGGGGGCTGGAAGGAATATTCCTACAGGGTATATTGGCAGAGGCCCTGGGCGATTTTCACCTTCCTCTTTAGCATAGGGCACCGATCACTTATGGGAGGACTCTCTGCATCTTGGGGTCTTTAAACTATCATTTGAGGACTTCAATATCTGAGATATAGGTGAGAGGATTATTCCAGGAGTGGGTGGGTGAGATTCTGTGGCCTGCACTGTGCCGGGGGTCAGACTAGATATTTATAATGGTCCCTTCTGACCTTATAGTCTATGGCTACGTCTACATTGGCATCCTTTTCCGGAAAAGGGATGCTAATGAGACGGGTCGCAATTGCAAATCCGCGGGGGATTTAAATATCCCCCGCGGCATTTGCATTTACACGGCTGCCGCTTTTTTCTGGCTCGGGGATAAGCAGGAGAAAAGCGCCAGTCTAGAGGTGATTCTCCGGAAAATAAGCCCTTGAAAGTAGGAATAAGAAATCCTCCGGAAAAGGGCTTATTTTCCGGAGAATCGCGTCTAGACTGGTGCTTTTCTCCGGCTTATCCCCAAGCCAGAAAAAAGCGGCAGCCATGTAAATGCAAATGCCGCGGGGGATATTTAAATCCCCCGCGGATTTGCAATTGCATCCCGTCTCATTAGCATCCTTTTTCCGGAAAGGGATGCCAATGTAGACGTAGCCTATGAGCCTATATACCACATGAGACAAAAACCAAAATACCAATGAGGCCACAGTTTCCTGAAGTTCTGTCCAGCTATCCGCTATCACAGCAGATGAAAAAAAAATAATTGTACCATTTGAAAGATGCAGCTGAGAAACAAGGACAGAAAACCCCCCCTCAAAAAGAGCCCATGACACTGGTCTTGGAAAATT